ATAACTTTTTTGAATTCATAAATTGAATTGACCTTTAAGTAATTTTTGATTAAGACAAGACTTTTGGCCAGGCTCGGTGGCTCAGCGTGTAATCCCAGCACTTTGGGAGACCGAGGGGAGTGGGTTGCCTGAGACCGAGGGTTGGAAACCAACCCGGGCAAATTGGCAAGACTTCCTCTCCACAGGAAAAATAAAAAGTCTGCCGGGCGTAGTCGTGCACGCCTGTAGTTCCAGCTACTTGGAAGGCTGAGGCAGAAGGATCGCCGGAGCCCAGCAGGTCGAGGCTGCGGTGGCCGGGAGCGACCACTGCGCTCCAGTCTGGGCAACAGAGAGACTCCAACTCAAAAAATAAAAATAATAAAACTTAAAAAAGAAAAATTAGTCGGGATCGGTGGCTCAGCCTGTAATCCTGCGCCTTGGGAGGCCAAGGCGAGTGGATTGCCTGAGCCCGCGAGTTCGAGACCTGCCCGTGCTACTTGGCGAGACCTCATCTTTGCAATAAATCAAAAAATAAGCCAGGCAAGGTAGTGCGTGCCTGTAGCTCCAGCTACTCGGAAGGCTGAGGCAGAAGGATCGCCGGAGCCCAGCAGATCGAGGCTGCGGTGGCCGGGAGCGGCCACTGCGCTCCAGTCTGGGCGACAGAGTGAGACTCCAACTCAAAAAAAAAAAAAAAAAAAAGACAAGACTTTTTCTTGCCAGTTTTAAATGAGTATTTAATGTTTATACTTAGAACTGGCCAAACTGCATAAGGAAAACAAAATTTGGGGCTGCAGTGACCCCGTGCCGGGGCCTACCTAGGTTTGGGCGTATTACAGGGTGACTGACAAGGAATAAACAAGCCTTGTGGTAAAAACTTGTTAATTAGATGTTGCCTATGGGGGTTAATTTAAAGGGAATATGAAACCTTTTAACTTTTTGGAATGTCATCAACTGCCACTGGGGAACAAGTGTTAGAGGAAAGAGGTGCAGCATGGGTAGCCAGAGCCAAACGACTGACACCTGTGTTAATTAAGAAATTAATTTGATTTCCTGCGCCCTAATATTTACTTGGGGGTCGCTGGGGTGATGGTAAAGCTGATGTGAGGCATTGTAAAAGGTCCCTGGGTCTCCTCAGTTAGCAGCCACCGTTTCTTGAGCCAGGTGTTCCCCCTTGCCTCCAGAAGAGGGCGCACGTGCTCTTCCAGTGGCCCTCTGGTCCACACAGTGGACAAGGTCTAGGCCTTTGGGGGCAATTACGATTCAAGTGTCCCCGTTGATTGCATATGTAGCAGTGGATACCATCCCCTTTTTTTCGGGTTTGTTCCTACCAGCTTTTAGTCTGATTGCCGGAGTTCTGTCACTGATGGCCTCTGCCAATAGAAGTGTCTGTTTGGCGCCGTTGCCTCTCATGCTGGTGCCTCTTTTGTTTCCTCAGTATTTTGTTTGTTAGAAACTTTTAAAGTTTCCTGCCACTGGAAGCTTGGCATTTGTGGTATTAAGTCTAGCTTTTGGAGCAGTGTATCTAATACCCCATAGAATATAATCTTGCTTGCACAGTAGTGAAATAAGGTAAAAAACGCTTGTACATATGGAACTTCTGACCATTATTGAGCTTACGAAATAACTCTAATTGCCGTATGAAATTAAAGCTAGGAGCTTCGTTCTTACTCCAGACCTTATTAGCTGCTAATTTGTACTGAATACCGGTATTTTGTTGGTTTGTTTTGTTTTTGAGTTGTAGTCCCACTCCATCGCCCAGGCTGGAGTGCAGTGTAATGCTCACCACCACCACCACCACCCCAGTGTTGAGCCGCTGGACTCAGGCGATCCTTCCGTCTCAGCCTCCCAAGTAGCCGGAACTACAGGCATACATTACCGCACCTGGCTGATTTTTGTTGTTGTTGTTAATTGTAGAGACGAGGTCTCACCATGTTGCCCAGGCTGGTCTCGAACCCACGGTCTCAGGCAGTCCCCTCGCCTCGGCCCTCCCAAAGTGCTGGGATTACAGGATTGAGCCACCGTGCCCGGCCTGAATCTAGATCTTAATGCAATAACATACTAACTTTTTTTTTGTTTTAACCCATTTAATTATACTTTTTTCCAATTCATTAAAATTTGACCCAGTGGGATTCTAAGGATGTGGATTGAGTACTACCTGTTTTCTTGTTTGCATTCCTAAAAAAAAAAACAAAAAAAAAACACCAGAATTTTGCCTTTGAACCCTCATGTGCTGCGTTCTTCAAAGAAAATTCTGAAACAAAAAAATATAGGTCATACACAGTGATACCAGGCATCCCTGGGTCCTGATGATCTCCTGGCCCAAGCGTCCTCAGCCCCCCTGAAGCTTTATGTTCCTTCAGTGTCCACGTAGGAGTCTCCCTAACTTGAGACCACAAACCAACTTTTCAACAGTGCCTTTTTGAAAAGCTTTTTGAGTGATAAGACCGTCTGAATGAGAAATGGTCAGTTTTCATCTGTTTCCAATTGTGAGCAAGCAGATTTGCTAAGACCTTTTATAGATTACTAAACTGCTGCTTTAAGAGGTGCCGGAGGTGCCGGGCTCGGTGGCTCAGCCTGTAATCCCGCACCTTTGGGAGGCTGAGGTGAGTGGATTGCCTGAGCCCGCGGGTTCAAGACCCGCCTGGGCAGGTGAGACCTCATCTCTACAATAAATCAAAAAATTAGCCTGGCGTGGTAGCGCTCACCTGTAGTTCCAGCTACTTGGAAGGCTGAGGCGGAAGGATCACCGGAGCAGCCACTGCACTCCAGTCTGGGCGACAGAGTGAGACTCCAACTCAAAAAATAAAAAAAAAGGGGTGCCAGAGATTTGTTTGAAGACTTTGAAAAGGAGTTATGAGGTATGCACAATCAGATGACAGTGATCATCTGATTGTGCCTTACTGTGCCACACAGAAAGCATCTAGCACTTCACCTGTCTTGTAGGAGTTAGCTTGGTGCAGTGTGACCAAACTTCTTTAAAAAAAAAAAAAAACCTTTCCACGAACCTCATAGAATAAGCAATGGTGTTATCTAGCATTAGTGTTTTAAAAAAAAATAGAGTCTTATTTCCCACACGAGTATTTTAAACATTTTGCTTCTGTTACTGGGTATGAACTCTATGTACCTTCAGCACATGGTAAAGTCGTAGGAAGCAAGGTTTAAGTATGGACTTAGTTTTCTGCACTATCTAGTTCCCAGAATGCCTGGAATTTTGGTTGGAAAAGCAAGTTAAAATGGCAAAGACTTTTTATTGTGGGTTAGCAGGATCCCTTAACCAGAGACAGGGCTTAAAATATACTGTGTGCTTCTGAAAGACTTCAACAGTTTTATAAGGACAAATAGTTGATTGTAATCTTTCTTGGGCAAGGCTTAAACCTTTAGAAACAGACTCACTTCTAAATAACCTGGCCACTAACACTTGAAAATAAGAAGAATTTGACTGCTTATACCAGAAAAGAAAGAAAGAAAAAAAGAAAGAAAGAAAGAAAGAAAGAAAGAAAGAAAGAAAGAAAGAAAGAAAGAAAGAAAGAAAGAAACCTTCTATTCCTATTCCAAGTAGAAGTCATTTCCTCTATCCTCCCAGTAGAACAGCAAAAGTGAAGCATGAGAGAAAGAAAAGTGAGGTCTTCTGGTAGCTGCTCAGAATAAAATAAGACCCTCTCTGTGCCTTCCATCAGGAAGGATTGTTCAAGTCTCAGTTCTGCATGGTGTAGGGTTTAGTCCTCATCCCACCTCTTTACCCTCCTGTAAGGGAGGTCCAATAATCCTGGCTAGAAGGAGCAGAGATCAAGCTATGGGGGGAGAGTCCATAGGTGACCCTGAGAAGGAAGAGGAGCGAAAGTGGAAGCAGTAAAGACTGAGAGAGAGAGAAACAGAAAAAGGTTTTAGCCACCATACTCAAAGTCATGTGGTGACAGCCATCACTGAGCTTCTCACGCCCTATGTTCAGGTGCCAATGATGTTGCCAGGTGGGGTGTGACAGAACACTCATGGGATCTGTGACTGACTACTGGAAGGAATTTCTGAGTGGCCAGCAAAGTTTTTAAAAACAGAATTTAAAGAAAGAAAGGGAGAGAGATTCATGCAAGAAACCTGGCATGGGTGGATTTCTTGGAAAGAAAAACTGCACTTTCACTCTTTACTAGAACCTTGATATATTTTCACAATAATAGACATGGTGATGAGGGTGGTCTACAGATATCTGCTGTGGAGAGATTACCACCTCCTCGGCTGATGGACAAGGGGGTAGGCTTTTCCCAGAACAGGCATTTTGCCTTTGAAAGGAGACTTGTTAGACTTGTGAACATACAGGTTCATGAGCTAAAAGGTGGTCTGATGAACATTTCTATAGTTTTCAGTTCCTGGTCCTGGAATCACCTCGATGGGCTTATCCTTTGATGAACTGAGGGTGTGTGTGGCCTGGTAGTTCCACATTCCAACCTGGCCTACAGAAAAGGTGTCTGGATGCTTCCTTATTTTATTTTGTTTATTTTTTATTTTTATTTTTTTGAGTTGGAGTCTTACTCTGTTGCCCACGCTGGAGTGCAATGGCATGCTCACAGCCATAGCAGCCTCAACCTGCTGGGCTCAGGTGATCCTTTTGCTTCAGCCTTCCAAGTAGCTAGAACTATAGGCACATATCACCACACCCAGCTAATTTTTTGATTTATTGTAGAGACGAGGTCTCACCAAGGCCCAGGCTGGTCTTGAACCCCTGAGCTCAGTCACGCTTCCTTATTTTAAACTAAAAACTGCCTACAAGATATTTATCTATTTATGTCCAAGGTACACTGACTACCCTGCCTCAATGTGATTGCATCACAGCATATTCTTTGTCATTAAGTGATATATCTTATAGTGTTGCTTTTCTTTAAATTTCCTTTCTTGGCCAAACACAAGAACGAACTAGTTTGACTAGCATAGAATGTGAAGATGAGTTCTATCCTCCCTTTCAATTCCCTTGCTTGAGCAGGAGGCGAAATCCAAATGCCCCAGGGTATCATTTGGCTTTTTCATTCCAGTGTGACATCTCCAGGAACTGAAGTGTCAGAGACTCAAAAGACAACAGTAGTACCTGGCTCTCCAAGCAAGACACCTGAGGAAATTAGTACTCCTCCTGAGGAGGAGAGGCTGTACCTCCAGAGCCCAACGCCCAGTGAGCGAGGAGTCTCTCCCATTGTGCAGGAGCCAGAAGAGCGTCCAGAGCATAGAGAGGAGAGTTCGCCACGGAAAGCCAGCCTTGTGATAGTGGAGTCAGCTGATGACCAGCCACCAGCCTTCGAAAGACCCAGTGAAGATACAGCTTTTGAAAAAGTAAGACTTTATTTCCTGTTTCCTTGTCCACCTGTAACAAAGCTACAATCTTCTTCCAGTTTCCATTTCTCTGATGGTTTATTTTGTTCACTTCAAAACAGAAAAGGTTACCAAAAGAATTAACCTGAGCCATGGAAACTCTCAATCCCTTTTAAAATCTGAAAGCCAGTGAATCAGTTCCATTGCTAACTATTTGACCATAATCCCTGATCTTATCATTGGAAACTCTCTTACTAAGAAAAATGAACACTATAGTAAAACAATAAATATGATATAACTTTTTGAAGCTAGTAATCTTTGGCATGAAAGCTAGTGATAGATATTGATAGTCTCAGGTGAGTCTCCAAGACATGGGATGTGCTGAAACCAGCAATCTTGTTCAATCTATGTGTGTGCTGTCTAGTGATGAGTACACAAACTTTGGTTATTGGATGAGGCTTAGCTGCCAAAATAAATTGTTATCATTAGTGGAAGTATACTTTCCAAGTTACATTTCCTTAGATTTATTTAAGGAATGACTTAGAAAAAGAATATTGTGCCTAAACTTACTGCTGTTTCTAAATGTTCAAATGCCTGACAGTCGCATGAGATTGCATCACAGAATTTTCCTTTTCATTAAGTGAGTTTTATTGGAAAAAGGGGTGGGGACAGTGTTAAGAAATTCATTTAAACCATTCATTCTCAGTATCTGGTTTAATAGTTCACATACCTCAGAATTGGTTGGGGAGCTTGATCCCACCTCAAAACTCCTGAATTAGAATAAATCCCAAGGAGAGGGAAGGGAGCCATAATGTTTTGCATTTTAAATGACTCCCCACATGACTCTCGTAGACAAAAATGTGTGAGAGTCCCTTTGAATTAAATGTCACTTAACATAAATTAGATGTCATTTTTTTATTTTAAAAAGTAATAGAAAGCCGGGCTCGGTGGCTCAGCCTGTAATCCCGCGCCTTTGGGAGGCTGAGGTGAGTGAATTGCCTGAGCCCACGGGTTCGAGACCCGACTGGGCAGCAAGACCTCATCTCTACAATAAATCAAAAAATCAGCCGGGCATGGTGGTGCATGCCTGTAATTCCAGCTACTCGGAAGGCTGAGGCGGAAGGATCGCCGGAGCCCAGCAGGCCGAGGCTGCGGTGGCCAGGAGCGGCCACTGCACTCCAGTCTGGGCGACAGAGTGAGACTCCAACTCAAAAAAAAAAAAAAAAGTAATAGAATGCAAAAATATTTTATATCTCAAAATGTTTTTAGAGCATTCATATGAGGCGCAGTAGTAAAGATGAGTTATAAGAAATAATTAATTTGGGGGGGAAATGAAGTGATACAACGTATCTTCGGGCTTAAGATGTACATTTGTTTTTAATCACTTTGAGGATGACATCTGCCATTGGGATTTATCTGAAATCATAAAATTTAGGAAAGACCAAGCAAATGAGAAGCGTTTGCTGGTTTTAGCAGTTATCTTAAATATTGAATTCATCCTCTGAATGAAGTTTTACTCCAAGATGCTTTTGCACAGAATTATTGACCTTGCAAATTCTTGGCTTAAATGAATGCTAGTAAAATTGTTTCATGCATACTATCTGAGCTTAAAAGTTTCAAATTTAGTTAAGAATCCATAGGTTTAGTGAAGTTATACTTGAACAATTTTCTGGAAAATTAATATTATTTACTCTGTTCTCTGTAAATACATTTATATAAGTCCTGCATTGCACATACTGAATACAGGCCTGTTTCACTTATTCTTGATGGATAGCCAGTTCTCTCTTAAGCTTCCTATGTTGGTCCTTACCTTCTCACAACCCTAACATGGACATCCAATTTCAATCACTTTTCTTGCTGACCATATTATCACTAGGCAGTAGATTCTAACCCAGTGTCTTTCTTTACCTTTCTTTAGCAGAGATGAATATAAAATGTAACTTGGGTGTTTTAAAATATGTTAAGCAAATCTAGTTGAGTTTTCTCTTTTTTTAAAGTGCATTTTATTAGGAAAGAGTGACTCAGTGTGTGACTCCCAAGACCCTAAACTAAAATTATGCTTTTTGCCGCATCTCTGACTTTGAGCCAGAGCCATAAAATCTGATTGGCCTCTGCATCTCAACTTCTTTGAAAAATGCATCTGGTAGTATTCATAGCTCACTTTTTTTGATGCCAGGAAGATGAATTCCTGACTAGATAATAGCTACGGGAGATGTTGACTTCCTGTAGAAAGGTCTGCTAGAAGCAGGAGACATTCCTATACCTTTGAGTTAATAATTCCAAGTTAAACACAAGTATCAATGGCTCACAATTATTTATTGTGCTGCTTAAGTTCCATGTTTACATTCAGTTATTTTTATTAGGAGTTTATATATAAGAACTCATGTGAGCAAGCTGCTCATTTCTTTGGATTGATTTTGACAAATGGGTTTTCCAACATCTCTTACAATTCCAGATTTTTTTTTCCATTCATTGACCAAAAAACTATATTCTTATTGAAGGTTGTGACCCATACAATCATTTTCATCCCTGCTGACTTCTCCACCCAAGCCTCCATGTATAAAACTTTCAGAATACAGAATAAGCTCAAGCAAAAGCCAGTAGTAAAGTCATTCTTTAGCATGTTAAACAAAACAATGCTTCCATGCTTCCACCAGGAGCTAACAGAGGAATTAGGGGAGCTGGAGGCCAGCTCTGATGAGGAGGCGATGGTAACCACCAGGGTTGTCCGCCGGCGAGTGATTATTCAGGTACCAGCTGTTCAATTGCTGCACGTTAGGGATGGCTCTGTCCTCATACCCTTGGATCAATGATCGACCTGGACCAATGAAGCCTTGGCATGTTCCTTGGGTAGTGCATGGCCCTTCAAAAGCAGATCCCTTAACTCTCCTAAGTTCTGTTTGTAAAGAAATGCAGTGGTCATGACATTTGAAGCTTACCTCCAAGACAGTCACCAAGCAAGGCCAAGATTTGGCTTCTTCAACGCCAACCACCTCACCTCTCGCTTATCTATTTTTGTTTGTTTGTTTACATTTTACCTAACTTGGGTCTGATTCCCCCAAGCATGTTACTACCCACCTGCTGTTTTTCTTTTAAACAAACTATTTGACAGGACTTTTGTATCCCAGCAATGCTTCTCAACATCGCCTTTGATTTCCTAACATTCCTTACATTATAAGCTCTTGGGAGTAGTTCCTCAGAATTGGTATCAGACATTGAAGTGACCTTTTCTCCCAACTGTTTAGGGAGATGATATGCCTGACATACCCCCAGAAACAGTCACAGAAGAAAAATACATTGATGAGCATGGACACACAGTGGTGAAGAAGGTATTGTCTTGTGTATCCTAACAGTGGTTGATTTCAAACGTCCTGTTTAAAATGTATCAATACCCTGGTACTCTAACTCAAAAATAAGGTACATAAATGAAATATATTTCAGATTACTAGGAAAATCATTAGGCGGTATGTAGCCTCTGATGGCACTGAGAAAGAAGAGATTACAATGCAGGGAATGCCACAGGAACCTGTCAGCATCGAGGAAGGGGATGGCTATTCTAAAGTTATAAAGCGTGTTGTATTGAAGAGTGACATGGAGCAATCAGAGGTGAGACCACTTAATACTCCATAATTCATTTTATGGAGAGAAGCAAAAATCATGCTCAAACAAAATAGATGAGATTATTTATTCATGTTGCCTCATTCTTTTCTATGGCAGTCTGCTTTTAGTTGCATTTTTTTTTTTCCATGATTCTGTGTGATTTTAAAATAACCATCAGGGAGATTTGTAACCATTATATTCATTGTCTTTGTTTGGTCCTCTTTATTGCTATGTTTTGTTTAATTCATGGTTGACCACAGCAGAAATCCAAAAGTCAAATTTTAAAAGAATAAAATCCTGTTTGCTGGGCAAGCAGTATGTTATAAAGAGACCATGTACAAATCCATCATGGTGCTTATGCCTGGTTGGCATACCAGTATTCTGAAGGTCACTTTCGATAAGTACTTGATATTTCAAACTTTTGCATTTCAGAGTCACTAAAATTGAGATCTAGAAACTCTTTGATTTATAGTTTTATTTCTTTCTGTTTTACTTCCCTCTTTCAGGGACATATTTACTCTCTTTGGCAAATAATTTGTGAAATTCTCACCATTTTGCATGCATTCACATCCTCAATTTTTTTATATTATACACAGGAGGTTCTCTAGAAATCCACTTTTCAATTTCTTATGGCTTTGAGAGTTCCTCCTTTGGGAGATAATTTTATCTTTAAAACACTAAAAGAAACCATTTAAACATGAGAAAAGAGAGTTTATCCACAGACTGGTATGTCTACATTGCACTGAGTTGTCAGTTTCTTATTCACAAAACTGACTGATACATTTTTGTTCACATTTTTGTGACTAATTAAGTTTGATTTGGTACTGGTAAGGTGCAGTTATTATAACCAATTGATTATAGTTTATTTTTTTCTAACTCTGCTTCCAAATACTGTTTTCTGGAAAGCTGGTATATAACATTATAGTTTTGTTTTTTTGTTTTCTAACACAGAAAAAGTCATTGTAGCTGCGTTTTGGCAGTCAGACATTGTCTATTGTATGTCCTTCATTCATTAGGTCACTTTGTCTGAGCCCAGCATTTTGTCCAGTTCTTCACAATTTCAGGCTGAACCAGTGGAAGGCCGTAGAGTCAGCAAAGTTGTTAAAACAACTATGGTACATGGAGAGAGGATGGAGAAACATCTGGGGGATTCTAGTTTAGCTGCTGATCTTCCTTCAGCCAAAGATGACTTTGAAGAGGTATAGAAGCATCGTCATTTTGTCTTTTTGTTAATGTTTTATGCTTGCTTTGTGTTTGAAAAAAAATTGTCATTGTGATAATTCCATATATGAATTTAAGGAAGGGTGTGGAATTGTTCAAGAGAATAGAATTTCTGCTTGGAGTAACATTCACTCCAACCATGGTGTTCATTGGTGTCACCTTAAGCACTTTAAAAAAATCCAGATGGCTGGGCACAGTGGCTCACGTTTATAATCCCAGCACTTTGGGAGGCAGAGGAGAGAGGATTGCCTGAGCCCAGACTTTCAAGACAAACCCGGGCAACTTGGTGAGACCTCATCTCTACAATAAATCAAAAAATTAGCCGGCTGGGTATGATGGCTCAAGCCTGTAATTCTAGCACTTTGGGAAGCCAAGGTGAAAGGATTGTCTGAGCCTAGGGGTTCGAGACCAACCTGGGCAACTTGGCAAGACCTTGTCTCTACAATAAATCAAAAAATGAGCTAGGCATGGTAGCACGCACCTGTATTTCCAGCTACTTGGAAGCCTGAGATAGAAGGATCGTCTGAGCCCAGCTGGTCAAGGCTGTGGGGGCCGTGATCGTGCCACTGTATTCCAGCCTGAGTGACAGAGTGAGACTCTAACTCAAAAAAAAAAAAAATCCAGATGACCAGGATTTTCTTCTGCTGGAACAGACTCAAAATTTCAGGAGTTAGGATATGTCTATAAATCTTGTTTAAAAGTTGCAGAGGTGCTTTGCTCTTGCAATTAATAAGGGAAAGAAATAAAGATGATGCAAATTATCTTTGCTAGCAAATATTCTCAAATTTGTGAACGATAGGCACTAAAGAAAATTCAGATATGTTTCATGCCCATAAATTTGAAAAGCATTTCAGTTCTGGCTTTCCAACAATTAGAAATGGTTCTACAGTAACAGATCTACAAACCCTCACCACAATCTAAAAATTCTAAGAACTAAAACAAATTTTATAACTTAAGTTGACAGCAAAATTTGAAATAAATGGGCATAGAGTTATTACAGCATGGAGTTGTTTTTTTTTTAATCCTACTTAAGAGTGAATATGCATATGTTTTACTGTGTATGTAAAATGGCTTTTATTATATCTCTTCTGGGGTGTTTGTAATGTACAGTAGTAATGCATCGCTTAACAACGGGAATACATTCTGAGAAATGCATCATTGGGCAATTTAGTCATTGTGTGAACATCACAGAGTGCACTTACATAAACCTAGTCTAGCCTACCACACACCTAGGCTAGGTGGTATAGCCTATTACTCCTAGGCTACAAACTGCACACAGCATATTACTATGGTGAATATTGTAGGCAGTTGTAACACAATGGTAAGTATCTGTGTATCTAAATAAATATAAACATAGAAAAGGTAGAGAAAAAAAACTGTATAGAAGACTTTTTAAAATGGTATCCCTGTATAAGGCTCTTACCATGAATGGAGCTTGCAGGACTGGAAGTTGCTATGGGTAAGTCCATGAGTGAAGGCCCAGGAAATGACAGTATGCTACTGTAGACTTCATCAACTCTGTACATGCAGGCTGCACTAAGTTTATTTTCAAAATTTGTTTTTTTCAATAATAAATTAACCTTAACTTACTGTAACTTTTTCACTTTGTCAACTTTCTTTTAACTTTTGACAAAACACAAACACATTGTGCATTTGCACAAAAAGTACTTTTTCTTTATATCCTTATTCTATTACGCTTTTTTTCTATTAGAATTTTTTTTGTTTTACTTTTTAAGCTTTATCGTTAAAAACCAAGACATAAACACATACACATAGGGTCAGAATTACTATCTTCCTCTTCCATATCTTTTCCCACTGGCAGTTCTTAGGGGAAATTACACACATGGGGCTGTGATCTCCTATGAGGACAATGCCTTCTTCTGGAATACCTCCTGAAGGGTCTGCCTGAGGCTGTTTTACAATTATCTATTTTTTTATAAGTAGAAAGAGTATACTCTAAAATAATGGTAAAATGTAAAATGTACAGTATGGTTAAATGCATAAACCAGTTACATAGTCATTCATTATCATTATTAAATGTGATGTAGTATATGTAATTGCATATGCTATACTTTTTTTTAGATGGGAAAATATAGTTTATTTAGAAAGTACATTAGAGAGAGGAGAGGAGACAGAGAGATATGAGAGAGAGAGCGAAAAAGAAAGAGAGAGGAGATTCAACTATCCAAGGTAGGGGAGGAGGGCCAAAGCTTAGGAAAACGTGGTCTGGCCATAGCTCAAAGAGCACATGGCTAGACGTAGTTTAGCAAAGCCATGGCCATGTGCTGTACTTTTATATGACTGGCAGCCCAGTAGATTTGTGTAGACCAGCATCATAAAAACATATGATTCGTGCATCGTGCCATAAAATTAGAACAGCTACTACATTCACTAGGCGACAGGAATTTTTTGGCTCCATTATAATCTTGAGGGACCAGTGACATGTGTGTGGTCCATCATAGACCAGAACATCGTCATGCAGTACGTGAGTGTATATGCATCATATTACTTTTCTAAAATCCAAAAGGAAAACAAATCTGAATTTTGAAACACATCTGACCCCAAAGTTTTGATTAAGGGATTGCGGGAATGTGCAAATATCTACAAAATATTTTTGCTATTGAAACATTTTGAGGTTAATGCTGTATGTGTCCTCTGCTATATCCACAATGTACAGTGAGATTATATATGAATGCATTAAGATGTTAAAAGCACAGCTTACTTAAATACTGTGGGTTTTCTTATTTTATTTTATTTTTTGAGTTGGAATCTCACTCTCACTCTGTTACCCAGGCTGGAGTGCAGTGGCAGGCTTACGGCCACCATAGCCTTGACCTGCTGGGCTAAGGTGATCCTTCTGCCTCAGCCTTCCAAGTAGCTGGGACTGCAGGCGCGTGCGCTACCATGCCAGGCTAATTTTTTGAGTTATTTTAGAGATGAAGTGTCACCATGTTGCCCGAGCTGGTCTCGAACCTGTGGGCTCAGGCAATCCTCACCTTGGCCTCTCAAAGTGCTGGGATTATAGGCGAGAGCCACCACACCCAGCCAATATTTTGAGTTTTCACATGCTGACAGCTGGCAATCTTGAACAGTCAAAAGATGAATTACCTGAGCTATATACTTGGGTCTTGTTTTTTTCTTGCTCTGGATTTTGTGTTTATCATTAGGGTCTGCACTGTAGAAAGAAGTGGGGTGAGGCAAGGAGGAGAAATTGAAAGTCAATCCATATGGATGTTAATTAGCAGCTTTTGTAATGTAATATAACAAATCTCCTTCACAAATGGGAGAAATTGGAGGGACTTGTGAAATAAAATCAAAACTTAGATCTGCTTCTAGGAGCTGTTTTTATTTATCCTTTCATGTATATCTTTTCATGCTGACGATGAGTTATGCAAAGCAATGGATTGTTTTAAAGTCTATGGCTTGTGATAAGCTTTATCTCATTTTCTTTTTTTCTTACTTCAGGCTTTGAGTTACACAGGTAGCCACATGAAAGTCCACTTCCCCAGTTTAGTAGAGAATGAAATCCTGAAAGAGGATGGATCAATAATTAAAAGGTTTGGGTTAGCATGGGGTGATGCTTTGCCAACTAACACCATAAAAACATTTCCAGTTTTGAGAAAAGAAAGGGAGACCCCCTGTGTATACCCTTTTATCCCTTGGGTGCTGCCAACTCCTCTATGGTAAGGTTTTGGTCAAGTAAAAGATCTACCAGTGTGTCGTATATAAATTATCCTCTTGATGCCTTAAAAGTAATACTAAGTCACAGTGATAGTGAGACTCACACTTACACAATCTGACTTCCTGGGTTTTAACAAGTTATCAGTTTAGTTGAAGCCAGCCAGCTGTGCTACTCCATTGTGTTGATAGATTTGGAGAGCACAGGAAATAGAATCTAATTAATTGATTACAAATTAATTTTGTGATCAGCTACATTCAGCTCAATCTTAGTAAGTCGGTACTTTGAGTGGTACATGCTTTTCTTTTTAAACAAGCTGTTTTATGGTTCTGCATGTGAATGTCAAATAACATAAGCATGAGTTTGATACCCATGAATCAAATGTACCTAGTGATGCCGAAACTAGGGGCTCTAATTAGCTAAGAAAGTCATGAAAGCCATAAGCAGCACATTTTTCTGCCTATAAAAGAAGGCTGACTGTGAAGCATGCTGGTCAGCCCCCATCTCTATCACAGATTTGATGTATAAATTTGGGCACCATTCCCTAGGTCTAATCTCATTTCTTGCTGATCCTCCAACAGCACTGTAAGTATTGAGACTAATACAATGTACCTAGTTTCTCAGTGAAAAGACACAAAGGAAATCCAAGTGACTATTGTGCTTTTCACTTCATTGAAAAGGAGACAAAAGATTGTCATTTATAGTACTCTACAGAGCTATTTTAAGCCTTTAGAACATAATAATTAGAGCAGCAAAATTAAAGGTCTGCCACAAACCCACCCTCCAATTAAATGTGAAACGCAGCAGCAGCAACTAGGAATTTAAAAGAGTCTAATTGCTCTCTTAGAAATTTTTAAATGCTACATGGATTAAGGATAAAATGCCTTTTATACTCTGAACTTTTAAGTCTTTTATCCAATTATTCAGATGAAACCATATAAACCATGCATGCCCTAGCACCATGGAATCTTCAAACTGGAATAGATCTAGATACCAGTTTATCCAAAGTTCTCAATTATAACTGGTGAATTGAAAACCAGGAGTATGGACAGCTTCATAAAGTTTCCACAGTTAATTATTTGTAAAACTCTATTTGTGATGTACAGCAGTTTATTTTATACCTTGCTAAAGACATGTTATCATACACCTGTGCATATTCATAAACACACTCGTCTATATATGCCTGTACAAAATACCAGGAAGTGTCCTTGATAGAAGCTTATTCTCTGATGCCAATAGTATGAAAACTTCTACTAGTTCTTGGCAAAAATGATCAGAAATTTGCCATTTTAAAAAATTGTGTTTTGTTTTTTGAGTCGGAGTCTCACTCTGTCACCTAGACTTGAGTGCAGTGGCATGATCACGACTACCGCAGCCTCAGCCTGCTGGGCTCAGGCAATCCTTCTGCCTCAGCCTTTCAAGTAGCTAGAACTACAGGTGTACACCTCCACACCCAGTTAATTTTTAAAATTTTATTGTAGAGATAATGTCTCGCCAAGTTGCCCAAGGCTAATCTCAAATCCCTGGGCTCAGGCAATCCTCTTGTTTCTGCCTCCCAAAATGCTGGGATTACAGATGTGAGCCACTGCACTCAACAGAAATTTTCTCCTTTGAAGAATAAAAAAATGGATGCTGAATAGTTAGAAAAACATAATCTGATTTTAATGATTGGAATCAAGTTTTACCTTTTCATCAAGAGGAACAAATTAAAGTTTGTCTCCAGATGCAAAATAATTCATGTACTATCAAAGGAAAGGGGAACAGTGGGCCATGGAGGTTCATGCCTGGTAATCCCAGCACTTTGGGAGGCCAAGGCGAGAAGATTGAGCCCAGGAGTCCAAGACCGACCTGGGCAACATAGCGAGACCTTGTCTCTATTTAAAAAAAAGAAAAGAAAAAAAATTTTTTTTAAAGGACAAGAGAGGAGAAAGAAGGAAACAAAGATGTTGAAAAGATAGCTGAAATTATTTTGGTTGAAGTATGTTAAAATTTTTTAAAAACCAGGATGATTTTAACAAATGAATAGAGGTGTTAGAAGATGGGCAGGACTTTCAGCTTCTGAATACTAGGAATCTGTAAGGAAAATGCTGGGGAAAGCTACAGACACTAGTCATTTCCCACAGCGGTTTTGAGTAAAGAAGCATGGCACAATGGTTATGGACACCGCTCCTGGAATCTGCAACTCTTGGCCCCACTGCATGCTAACTCTGTTATTTTTTATTTGGGGTGTTGTTTAAATTGTCTAAGATTCAATTTCCTTATTTGTTATAATAATAGTGTCTGGCATATAAAACACATTCAGCAAATATTTGTGGAATAGTAAAAAGAACTGAGTGAGCAAATTACAATATGATTATTTTCAAGTAGGGGTACAGTAAAATATTAGTGTGAGATACAATAGTGAGTTATAGCTCCTTCTCTCAAGTAACTACTAGTCTGATGAGGGAGGAAGTAAGCAACAGACTGTCAAGTGGCAGCTGGAGACACAAAGGGAAGACATGGGGGGCCTGAGAACAAGAGGAAGTTTTGTCCCTCAGTGGTTTTCCCCATTTGTCCTTCCTCCATTGCCATCTTCAGGCGCAGTGTCAGAGACCTGGACAGACCTTTACCGTTGATGGTAGCCACCTTCTTCTCTATTGATAGAATAATAGTTCAGGTTTTAAAGATCTATGTTTCCTGAAAAAGCACTCCTAGAACGTAATTTTGGAATGTGACCGTAAAAATTCAGCTGTCAGCTAAGGTATTTTAAATGAATAAAATTTAAAACTTTTTTTTCCAGTCTGTCAAAAAGTAGTTGTGGAATCACTATTACAGGATGAACCAAGTTCTATTAAATCAGTGCAACATAATCAAAAGAAGAATGATTGTATGTTTACTTTTTGAGAGGATCACATTAAAGCATGGTTTCATTTATCTGAATTTTTTTTTTTGGAGGAGGGTGACCCCAACGTGACTGAAATATTTCTTAAAGATTTTTTTAAAGTACTCCTGTCACCCCAAAAAACCCACACTTTAAAAAATCTTGTGAATTTGTTTAAAAGAAAGACATAAAAAGATGTCTGTAGTTGTTTTACTAATAGCTTGGTATGGAAACATCTAGAAGTAAGACAATAAGTACTCAATGTCATGGTCACCCTCACCTCCAGGGGCTGCCGTTTAGCAGTGAAGAGAGCATAACTCTCCTGTCCTCTTCTTCCAGGACAACACTGAGTAAAGCCAGCACACAGAAGAGGGCTGTGGTGAAGGACCGGCATGGAAAGCGCGTGGAGTTGGAGCACCTGGAGGACGTTCCCGAAGCAAGAGACCAGGACGACCTCCAGCGCGACCTCCAGCAGCTCCTGCGGCATTTCTGCGAGAAGGACTTGAAGCAAGAGGCCAACTGAGGGGCTGCCCAGTTCTCACACCTGAAACCACACATTCACTCCATATGCAGCTTCCCTGTTTCATTAGAGGAGTGACTTAACTGGCCTAGTTAATGGGATACCCCAACCTTTCCACTGTTAGCAAATACACAGCATTTTGTTTGAGGTTCCCCCATCCTCTTTAACTATAAGCTAATTTGTGACCAAAGATAGCATCCTTTGCACCGGATGCTGTATCCACTACTTTGTTGCATCTGTACTAACCTGGTAACGGGCCACCTTTATTGTTCTCTGCTTCTGCACAAGATCCATGAAAATCCATTGATCAGAAGAACTTCACCTGCAGACCTCTTCAAGTGACGCTATCTAGGAATCCTTCCAAGGGATATCCGTGGACAATGTATATAGCTGAAATGCTCAAATGAACAACATGTCAAAATTAAAACCACTGCCTATCATAACTACACTGGGCATCATGGAGCGAAAGGCCTCTAGGAATTGCTGAACCATGGTTAATTAAGATATTGCTAACACAATCGAATGATAATACAGTTTTACTGCAAAAGAAGCACTTCAGACCTATCATGTCCTTAGAACTTCCAGAGTAGCCATTGCTCCTAGTTAAAGATGGGTTAATAACCTTGAGGAACTGTCCTAACTAAGAAGCTATTGCTGGTGCTGGCCAGCCATGATTTATGACTCTCCAACAGCCACTCTGAGGGTGGGGAAGAAGAGAGAATGAATGAAACAGTGAGGTATTCAGTTGCTAGCAGCTATATCGCGTGACATGCTAGCATCTTCAGGTCTTTTCAATTTTGGACACGTTGGCAGGGTATTTTAAAAGCTATAACTACTGTAGTTTTCCAGTTTTCATTGCTGCTTTAGCAAGCCACGCTGTCTTACTGGTGGTCCTTTCTTCTGGCCACTGCACTGTAGATAATTCATTGAAAACAAGGTTTACCCACAACATGAAAGGTTAAACTCCTTCACTATGTTGGAGTGGTTTCTTTATTTCTTTTTTTTTTTCAGGTTTATATCTTCTCTAATACCTGCATGTGGCATTTAAAAATCAAAACCACAGTCAAAACCCCTCTTCTAATCACATTAATGGTTTCCATTCTTTTTACCCTGAGTGAGCACTTTTCACTTTCCGGCTAGGTCTGTTTTTGAGCTTGCAGACAAGATTGAGAAATCCTTGAAAATTTGATTTTGGTTAAAATTTTTGGTTTATTCATTTGAAATCCATACTCCCTTGGAAACTCTTAAGTGCTTTTGTGCACTTCTGTTTGTTTGTTTGTTTCAAAGAGAGGACTATAACAATCTGAGTGATTTCCACGTCCTATTCCTTATTCCTCTAGTGGTTGAAGCTGTGTAGCATTTTAACATATATATATTCACAAATATATTCATATAAACAGTATACATTTTGAATCAGTTATTTGTTAAAGAAAAGTATATTCAATGAAGATGAAATTAAAAAACAAAACAAAACAGAGTCTATCCTCCAGGGATTGAACATTTTCCAGTTATCTGGTCTTTTCCTGTTGTGCAAAAATGACTCATTGCTCCGAATGTCAAAAACAAATGCGACAAACAATGGCACTTCATCTTTTAAAGTAATGTTGCCAATAGAAAAAAAATTTCCTGGGAGGGAGGTTTCCTACAAGCCAAATCTCCTAAGCCTCAAACGCTAGCACTTTTTGGCAGTTGGATAGGAAATAAAACATTCTTTGGCAGCCACAATGACAGAGGCCCATGGTGAAACTTTTTGAGACACCCTATGGCCTTCTTGTCAAAACCTTCACTGGAGCTCAAGAAAAGCATTTCTGTTGTGTTCTTTGCAGTGCAGATGATGTCTGTGTAACAACATAATGGTTATTCACCTTTTTTTGATTTTGATTTTTGCTGTGTTATCAAAAAACTTGAATACTGTGAGAAGAAGTGAATTTTCAGTTGATGAATCAGCATCTTGTTCCCATGGTGATAACACTAATTGAATATATCTATGAGGGCATGTATTAGTTAATGGAAAAAAATACAACACTAACAATACATAGCTGCAATGTGTACAATGGCTGATTTAATTAAATAAAATGTACAAGTGTTAAATGTGGCAACAGTGATTTGTTCTTCTTTATCAGGATTTCAGGAGAATAAGAGACTAAACAAGATGAGATAGATTGGAAGCCAACAGAAAGACCCTAATTGCTTTTTTACTACTGTTTTTATTCTAGTAATTAAGTATACTGTATGCCTGGCACTGTGTTAAGCTTTGGGATAAATAGAAAGATGTCATCTATACCCTCAAGAAACTTCTATTGTTGTTGTTATGCAAAAGGAAAAAGCAGGTATCTGTTTTTAGTTTGGGGATCACTGGTAAATGAAACACAGGAATTTGGGAACTTGCTGGAGATGAAAACTGGGTAAGCAGAGGTCTGAGGCACAGTCAGGCCACAGGGTAGGACAGTTTTGGTCCTCTCTCGAGGCTGAGGCTCTACAAAACACATTCTGCCTTTGGGAACAACATTTGACTCGGGTTTTATTTCTGTCTTGCAGCCTGAGAATTACAAATTAAATAGATATATGAATATATATAAAGACAGAGCAGGAGCATGCAAAACTGAAATCAGTTGTGTTTGGAGAGTTTCTTTTTTTTGAATCCCTTTAATGCTGCTAAAATATTTTTATAGAAAAAAACTAAACAAAAAGACATGGTTTAGAAACTGAGTAGGTTTTATTTAAATCTTATCTACTATGAAATATGAAGCTCGCTGTATCTTGTTTATTTGCCTGGTTGATTAACAGCTCTTTTGAAATTAAAATACTGATTGTGTTAGACATTTTTCAAAGAAAACAGAGACAAAGTTTCAAAAAAATGTCCCAAAGAGTGGAATTGGAGGAACTGTCCCTCTACCTCTCATTTGTTTCATGTGCTATGCTTTCTATTTCCAGCAGCTCTGGGCTTGCACTGCCTTGGGTTTGATTAAGGAGATCAAAGCATCAGAGAATATTCACCGTTTTCTCATGTTTAATTATTTGCTGTGCAAAATCCATTTTTGTAAATGAAACTTGGTGACTCATATGCCCTTTTTACAGAAATATATTTAAAAGTAGGGTGAGGGGAAGCTTCTAGACTGAGGAAAGATTATACACAACTCACAAATGGCTTGTATTAGTCATAGAGAGGTGCAAATGGCATATAAGCACTCTGAAACAGGCTTGAATTGAATTTGAAATTAGTTTGCTTGAGGAGTCTTTCAGTTGGTGTCAGTATGGAGGGTCTGGGTGTAGGCAAGTAGGCAGACGTGATTAAATCAGACAGAGAGAGGTCAAATCTATATTTAAGAACTGACAAGATTTTATTGGATAATGAAATAAAGATTTGCTTGCTTTCATTATGCTATAAAGGAAAAGAAATTGTTTGAAAGTCTGTGTCTTCAGCTGCCACCTCTACTTAAAAACGACACTCTCCTTCTTTCCATTAAGGTGTGATTTCTGTTTCTAATCTAATTAAAGCTAGAATCAATCTTAGAATGTATCACCTAAGTAAATATGTAATACAACTTCATCTCACTGTAGTAATATAGAGCATTTAAGAAAATCTTTTAAATACCTGGGGTGGGGGGATTCTTGCACACAAAACTCGTCTGTTTGGTTATGTTAAGACTTTCTGGGAAAAACAAAAGTATTTCCCTGCTTTAAATAAAGTTTCATGGTATGGAGTAAATAGTACATATAAATAGACTTTGGGTAGACGTTATATATGGTGGACAGAGACATTTGACAGTGGTACTTGCAGTGACTCAACAGATACCTTCAGTCCCTGGAAATGTTCCATTGGTAAGTTTGTGAAATGTTCCTATGAGGCCAGATGACAAAATGGTTGAATGTGTGGTTGTTGTTTTTTTTTTGAGTTGGAGTCTCACTCTGTCACCCAGACTGGAGTGCAGTGTCACTGTAGCCTCGACATGCTGGGCTCAGGCGATCCTTCCATCTCAGCCTTCCAAGTAGCTGGGACTACAGGCACGCACCACCATGGCCGGCTAATTTTTTGTTTTATTGTAGAGATGAGGTCTCGTCAAGTTGTCCAGGTTGGTCTGGAATCTGTGGGCTCAGGCATTCCTCTCACCTCGGCCTCCCAAAGTGCTGGGATTATAGGCAACTGGCCACTAAATGTGTGATCTTAGCATAGGACCTGGTTTGGAATCAATCCTGTTATGTCAAGACATGTTGTGTGACTTTGTGAACATTTATCTTCTGGAACACGATTTCTTCATCAGTAAAATAAAGAGCACAGCACTTGCCTCAGATGCATCTCACCATGCCAGACACAGGGAAGGGAGCCAGTCCTGTCCTATTTGTTATCCCTTAGTCTAGAAGAGCTATGGTGGCTCATGTGTCCTTAGTGTCCATTTGTTATGGACCCCTGTTTGTGACCCTCCTCCTCTTTGGGCTAGAGTGAGCCTCAGGTAAGTGTTGAAGGTCTTAACTAACCTGTCTCGGTTAGAAAATAGAGTTAACCACTTCCTGTCAGGGACTCACAGGAAGGCTGTCAGTTAAGTCCTTTGATTCCCTTCCCATGCCGAGGAAGTCTTCAGGGTCTCTTTCTTTTTCTCAACAGACTCTTATAACTCAGGGTTTCCATTCCTTTTTCAAACTTCCCCCACACTATTTTGGTTTTCTTTTTTCTTCTCTCTCAAAACTGACTACAGAATTGGATAAAGCCTCCTGAACTCTCCTGCAGAGTGGCTGTTCCCTACCAGCAACAGGCCCAGCATGGCTGCTTCAGAGGACAGGCAGGGCAGGCTTGACTAGAAGTGGCTGTATCTGCACTGTCTTTGTAGATGTGCAGAAACTACTGAATTATGACATCAGCCCAAAACAAACATTGTGCCAATTTTTCCTGGCATGGATCAGAACTCACCTGCGGCAACTTTTGGATGAGAGGAGCCTTGTGTGAATTTTTCAAGTGACTCATAAATATGTGGTACCTTAGAGAACCACCTCTCACCCCAAAGAGTCAGAGGGACAATTCAGAAAGTCTAACAATTCAGTTAGTGTTTAGATGGGTGTATTAGTTTGCTAGGGCCGCCATAACAAAATAGTGCAGACCGGGTGGCCTAAACAGCAGAAATTTATTTTCTCAAAGTTCTGTAAGCTAAAAATCTAAGGCAAAAATGTTGGCAAGGGTTGGTTTCTTCTGAGGCCTCTCTCTTTGGCCGGCAGATTTGGCCACCTTCCTGCTGTGTCCTCACATGGTCTTTCCTCTGTGTGCCCAGATCCCTTGTGTCTCTTTGTGTGTCCAGTTCTCTTGTTCTTACAAGGACGGCAATCATATTGGATTATGGCCAAGCCTAATGGCCTCATTTTAACTTAATCCCCTTTTTAGAGACTGTATCTCCAAAGATAGTCACATTCTGAAGTAATGGCTACTAGGGCTTCAGTATGAATAGGGCGGGGGACACAATTCATCCTGTAACAATTATATTTGATTTTTTAAAAATCTTGTAAGTAATTTTAAGAAGGATGGGACCTAAAGCAAGGGATTAGAAACCTACATAAGTGTTGGGAGAGCCAAAACAGTGAAGGTAGAGATGATACTGCAGCTTTGAAGAAATATGCCATAAGTGCAAAAATTGGAAATCCAAGCTGCCACTGATGGACTCAGCTTTGTGTAGCAGCAAAGTATATGTTTCTTAGGAGAATGCCCAGATGTAGTTGCAAACACTCCATATGTCTTCTTCCAAAGTCCATGCACCTCTCTCCAGCTGCCCCCAAAGGAATAATAGTTTTCCTTCTTTTTCCTTTTCAAACCTTGGGCAAACACCTTGCATTAGCAAAATCAAATACCTAACTCCACTGGAAAGGGAGTCCAAAAAATGTAGTCCTGAGAATCTTCCTTCAATTTGCAAGGAATATGGTAGAATAGGGTGGAAATGATGATAGATTTCGGTGACAGAATAACAGTCTTTCATCCACCCACAAATGCTTGCAAACAAGACCTACCATGTGCTAGTTTCAGTGCTGAGTGCTCAGGGTAGACTGGGCTAAGGTGATCACAATGGATCACTTTTATTGAAATTTTACTATTGCCAGCTATTATTCAAAGTGCCCCAGAAATTTCTTTCATCTCCACCATAATCCTATGATATATATACAGATGAAGAAACAGAAGGGTAGAGAGGTTGAATAACATGCCCAAAATCACACAGATAGAAGATAACAAAGCTGGGATAAGAACCCAAGCAAACGGTACCAACGTTAAGCCACACTCCATCTTTGAAAGACACAGACTCTGCCCCTTGAATTTATAATCTTGCAGTGGAGACACAGCAGACTAATAACTGAGTAATAAATTAATCTTATGCTGAAAAAAATGTATATTTTATACAAAAAAACAGACCTTGTTTAGTATTCTCATTTCTATTCTTCTGCAAAATCTTTCTTGCTTCTCAAGCCCACTTTCTCTTTCTCATCTGCCTCATAACTTAGCAGATGAACTGGACTTTAGAAAGAAGAAAGTAGATGTTAATAGGCATGAATTACCACATGTTGTATTTCAGGGCTTTCCCCAACAGAACCAATAGGTTGGGTGTGTGTGTGTGTGTGTGTGTGTGTGTGTGTGTGTATACACAAGATAGATCAGAGAGAGAGATGAGATAGCTAAATTTGTTGTAAGGAATTGTCCCACATTCTACATGGTTATGGACATTGAGAAGTTCCAGGATCTGCAGCAAGCAAGTTGGAGACCCAGGGCAGCTGATGCTGCTTCAGTCTGAAGGCAGGCTTGAGATGCAAGAAGAACCAGTGTCTCACTTTGAGACTGAAGGCAGGAAGAACCAGCATCCCAGCTGAAAGGTAGTGAGACAGAAGTTTCCCCTGACTCAAGTCTTTTTATTCTGTTTAGACCCTGAGTTGACTGGATGAGTCCCACACACATTAAGGAGGGCAGGTTACTTAGTTCACCCATTTAAGTGTTAGTTTCATCCAAAAATACCCTCACAGAATATATCTGGGCATCCCATGACCCAGTTGACAACCAATGTCTTTCCTACTATTGCCTCCAAAATTATCCATATTTTCATGCACCCTAATACTTACTGCTCACAGAGGA